ATATGATAATGGTGGCGATAAGCGATATGATAAAATTATGTATAGCACTGGTAACATCAGTCTCAAATCTTAATGATGCTTAATATAGCAGTGGTAACATTATTGTTCTTAAGGAACTATATTGTTGTGTGTTGGAAGATAGTCGTCAGCTACCACGGATGTTATCGGTATTAGAACGAATGAGTAACATACGACAGCTGCGTGAGAATGCGATGAGGACATTGAATCGTCATCCATCGGTGGTTCTTGACTGTGGTGTTTATTGTGCTAACGCACCTGCACCGAACACTGTGCTCCCGTTCGATACATGTAATCATTTGATTTGTATTCATTTGCTTAATTGATGGCTTATGGTGTGCATTAGTTTATGGCATCGTAAGTGGAATGGGCACGATACGTCTGCTTAGAAGTTCATCATTCACGTACTTGTAGGTAATCAAGTGATTTGTCTTTCGGATACGAGTTTTATCACGATGAACATTCGACTCGATAAGACTGCTGCAGAGATCTGTGATTTAGCCAAGGTGAAAGTGCGTTACGGAGGACCGAATGAACATTTCAAACTGGTTGAAGTTAAGAGCAATGGAGGTGTGCATTTCTCGGGAATCGATATCCTCAGATTTCATCCTAACTGACAAATTAATCCCTGAAAACCTCTCTCAACCACGAAAAAAAAACAAAAATTTGAATTCAGTTGATATCATTTTTCTTTTAGTTCCCTTTCCATTCCTTGCTCTCTTTTCCGAGTTCATAATTTTTGTCCTCCGACTTTACTTATTTTGGTTTTTGAAATTTTGTTTTCAAAGTGAAACGTGTTTTATTTTCAGAACGTGTTGTATTTTCACCAACTGATGTAAGTGTCCCAACAATGCTCTCACTGAATGGTCGACTATACATTGCTTATGCGGATGAAATTGACTCATTGGTGGATTTTTTGGTTGAAATTTGATAACTTTGCATTCAGTTTATGAATTCCGTTCAAAATCTGATCATTCAGATCACATTTCCGTAAATGAATCAGCTCAGTGCTGAACAACATTCCGTATCTATTTGATGAATAAAGCCAAAAACTACACATTTTATTGTTGAACTAGAACTGTATAAACCATATAATTGGTTCAGAATGTGGCATTTAGAGAGNCTACACATTTTATTGTTGAACTAGAACTGTATAAACCATATAATTGGTTCAGAATGTGGCATTTAGAGAGATGAAGAAAAGTGTCTCGGTTAGTTCGGGTAGCATGAAACCAAAATTTGTTGAAAGTATAGGTTTCGAAAGCTCACTTTCGCTATTACGCCTACTCTTGTATGCATTCCGCTAACGGTTGCAGCGAGAGGGAATCTAATCTTGTTAAAATTCAGTCGAAATCATTTGAAACGACACGAGCAAGTTGCATGTGAATTGTTGAAATGCATCGTATCGTCATTAGACTGAATGAAAAGTTTTGTATGGATGAGAACACGTTTGCATAGTAGTTGTTGTGAGTAGTCTATGAAAGAAAGCATCTAACTGTGGTCAGTTCAGAGTCCGTTGTTGCAACAAGACGGTCCAGTTGAAAGTGTACATTCGTCAATGATCGAATTGCTGAGCAGTGCTGATATTGCACAACAGCTATCAATTTTCCACATGCAGTTGTTTGAGGCGACCGATGAAATAGAACTCATCACTCAGGTGTGTGATAAGCAAGTTTTCGTATTGTGGAAGTGCTGTTTAGAACTAGAAATATAATACCAATTAAACATTTCCGTAGGGATTGTCATTATATGATGAAATTGTTTTTTTCGGTACTTTTCGTATTTGTCGGATTTTACAAACATATTGTTGGATGAAGCAAGAACTGTAGTGAATTGTTTCAAATTAGGTGTTTGGTCGAGACCAATTCCCCGGTCGAATCCCTTCTAATCTTGATCTGTTAATGCGACGATTCAATGAGGTACAATTTTGGACAACCACCGAGGTTTTGCTGGCGCATGGAGCATCGAAACGAGTCGCTATGCTAAAGAAATTCATCAAAATTGCTGCACAGTTAGTGATGAAGCTGAATTTTGTTATGTGATCTGCAAATTTGTGGTCGATGTTCGAATATTCTAAAACAAAACGTTTCATTGCCTTTTCACTTTTGCTTTTTTGAGATCTGATTCCTCGACACTA